ATTTGGCTGATTAGGAGAGACATGGAAAAAGTTCCGAGATCGGCTTACTGAGGTGGAGAGGCACATTGGCGACTTGGAGGACTTTGTTTGTGAACACCATGCCTCCCTGCATACCCTCAAGGTTAAAGTGAAATCCCTGTAACCTGGAGCGGAAGACATCGAGAACAGGAACCACCAGAATAACCTTTGGGTAGTCAGTTTGCTGGAGGGGGCTGAAGGCCAAGATCCTGTGGCCTTCACGGAGCACTTACTGCACATGCTGCTCCCTCAGGCATCATTTTATTCCTTTTTCATGGTAGAGAGGGGTCATGGGATGCCACTGGTGAGGGGCCTGCCAGGTACTCCACCATGCACCTTCAGCTTTTGTCTCCTCAACTTCTGAGATAGAGACATGGTGCTGCGGGAGATGTGGAAACTGGAGGCACTGCATTATAAAAATGTTAAGCTTATGCTTTTTCCTGATTACTTGGTGGAAACTCAGAGGCTCCGGAGGACCTTCGACCACATCAAGGCCCAACTTTGCACTTGAGGGTTAAAATAAAGTATGCTATTCCTGGCTCCCCTCCGGGTGGAGGATGGTGAGTCTACCAGCTATTTTACCTTTACTGAAGATGTCTCACAATGGCTGGATACCCTGCCCCATGCCCACTGATATGGCTAGCACTTTTACCTAATACTTCTGCTTGGGCCGGGGGCCACTGCACTTACATGGCTGAGTTACTCGATATCTGCCTTCATTATACCTTCAATGATTGCCTTAAAGCAGCTGGTGATGTTACCTATCCATGGGAAAGATCCATGAGCTTGTTCTGCAACCCCTTGTTAGCTGGGTATTGAAGTCCCCTCCTGGGATTTTGGGAGGAGGACAGCCCCTATGTACCTAAGTTTGTGCCTTTAGTCATGGTTATGTGTTTTCTCCCTAGACTTTATGTGGGATCCCATTATCCCACAGGCTTTGTACTGGACTGTTTGCAGACTGAGCAGGTCACACAAAAGTTTTGTGTATTTATGTTCACTATCTTTCAGGTATTGCCCCCCCCACCCAATAGGGATTGTCCCTATTGTTTCGGTATTAAGCACTAGGTTCGGTTTTGCTACTTTTTGTTGTTTGTTGGGGAATTTTCTTAGCAGTAGTTTTCAACTTCAACTGCAAGGTTTTTTTTTATCACTGTACATGGGTACTGGGTTGTGGGTGGGATTACTCTCTGTAGATATATTGTGCTGGGATCGTACCTTACACTTGGCCTTTGGAACTATTTCTATCCTGTTAGATTTATAGTTTTACTCTTTCTCATGGCCCCACAAGATTTCTCTCCTGGAATGTATGGGAGTTGAATGCTAAAATCAAGATATCGCCAGTCCTTACTTATCTGAAGAAGTACAATCATCATATGTGTATACTTCAGGAAACTCACCTAGTGGGCAGTAGAGTTTAGAGCTTAAAGAAACCCTGAGTGGGCCATTATTACAATGCAACTTTTTCAGCATATACTCGTGGGGTCAATGTATTAATTCACAAGTTTCTTAACTATACTTTGTTGGATATTAAGTTAGATCCCGAGGGAAGGTATGCACTGGTACATGCAGTCATTGATGCAATTGACATGCTTATTTTAGGTCTATATGTGCCCCCGCCAGCCAAGGCATCATATGTGCATACCTTGACTACCCTTCTATATGGTTATGCTACTGATAATATTATAATTGCAAGGGATTTCAATTTGCTCCCAATTCCATCTTTAGATGAGCCTACGTCTGATGCTGCTGTAGATTACGCACGCTCTAAGTGGGCTTCTCTACACAATATATAATGTATGGCTGTGGAAATACCCTGATGTCAGAGTCTTCATTTGTCACTTTACTACCCATAATTCTATGTCTAGGATAGATCTAATATAAGTTAGTAGCAGCTTACCATCCAAAGTTCAATGGGTCTTTATGCGCCCTAGAGGTATCTCTGATCATGCCCCTATGGTGCGTAGTTTACAAACCATGACCCCCCCTTCAGAGCAGAAATGGCGGCTGGGTCTCAGATGATAGGATAGAGCCTGTGGTTTTCTTGCAGATACAGGACTACTGGTCTCTGAATGAAGGTTTGACTTCTTCTGAAGTTGTTTGGGATGCATTTAAGGCCTATGTCAGGGGTTGTTATCAATCTGCTATATCTGCATCCCAACGAGCCACTGCTGCTGATATGGAGAGTACGGAGCACAAGGCCCAGACACTTGAATCACAGTATACTGTTACTTGTAATCCTATTACTTACTAGTATATGCAGATAACATACGGAGAGGTAATACTCCTCCACATGGAAGCAGCGGGAAAGAAACAGTTGTCCCAATCATAGCGCATTTTTGAGCAGGGTGAAAAAAATGGAGGCTCTTGGCTTGGTTGGTTAAAGAGTAAACACCTACTACCAGTATTGCTAGGATCTGAGATGGGAATGGCCTGTATTTAACTGACCTGGCTATTGATGTCTGTTTTATTCCTACTATAACTCCCTGTACTCTTCTCAGTGACCTATTTGACAGATGAATTGGCCTCTTATTTAGACCAGATAGATTTTCAAACTCTATCCACTTTGTTTAGGGAACAGTTAGATGCTCCACTTACTCTGGAAGAGGTACAGCAGGCCCTGAGTGCTCTCCAATCTGGGAAAACTCCAGGAGTAGATGGTCTTGCTCCTTAATTTTACAAACAGTACAGTGAAATTTTAACTCCCAAGCTCCATGCAATGTTGGTTGAGGCTTTGCAAAAGGGTGCCCTTCCAGCCTCCATGGCCCAGGCAGTCATTGTAGTTATTCCTAAACTGGGCAAGGATCTAGAATTATGCATGTTCTACCTACCTATTTCCCTCCTTAATATGCCCTAAGTGTTATTCAGAACCAGGTACATTTTTTCATATGATTTGGTCATGCTCATGGGTGCAGGAGTTCTGGAATGGAGTGGTAAAGGATATTAACACGATTGATAAGCTATGTATTTCTTGTAATCCAATCAAATTACTGTTAGGGATCTGTAACAACATAGAGGCCCAAACTAAAAAACTCTTTGTATTCTACACAGCGCTTTGTGCTAGGAAGGCAATCTTACTCAATGGAAAAAGCCTCATCCCCCAACTGTTCAACAATGGAAATCTTTAGTTAATACTCCTGTATAAACTGATGTACCTGGGCCAAAATTGTCCCAATAAGTTCAATAAGATATAGATAGGTGGCTTGGGTGAAGGTGAGACAGCTATCTCTGTAAAAGTTACTGGTTACCTGTCTTTTACAGGGTATTCTCTGCCACCTGTTAATCCGAGAAGTAGGGGTCCTATTACTTTTCAACCCTCTCACAGCTTCGTATTCTCTCCTTCACCTCTTGTCCTGTACCTCCTGCCTCCCCCCTTCTTCCCTCTCTCCCTTAATTATTTTCCCTTCTTCTTTCTTTCTATCCCTTCCCCTGCCCTCCCCCTCTCTCTTCATTCTTCCTTTTACTGATTGCACTGTGACCTATTCATGGGTCATCCCCCTGAGCCTATCCCCCACAGCTGAGAATGAGATGGGAACAGAGTTACTGTCCATCTTTTTAATGTGTGAAGAAGGTGCTGATCCATTGTGTTTTGTATATTCTGCCCATTTTGTAATGCAAACTTAGTATGCCTTTGCATTTTGATTCCTCTGTTCTCCCTGCTCACTGTCGAAAACGTGCCACTGCTATGTGTTCTGCTTTATTAAACTTGAATAAAGTTTTTTGTTAAAGAATTAGCTAATAGAAAGGCAATCTATACCTCAAGGACATTGAGAAATCTTTCTCAAAGCGACTAGGATTGACAGCAGGTCAGGTACGGGCAATAAAGGCAGCCAATAACTAAAGGAAAACAGTAACTAATTCAGACAAGCATATAACAGGCAAGCAACACACACATACACTCATACACCTCTCTATTTTCAGACCAAGGTAAGTAAATAATATCCAGTCTAATTTTGTAAGGAAGATTGTGAAAAGGCCAGATCTTCCATTTGGAAGGCTGGTATATCCAACCAGGGCTGCCATATTTGTGTAAATTTCTTAGGACAGGCATGACCCCTGTAAATGAGTTTGTAAAGGGGTAGTGCCTGGTTTACAAAATGACAGACAAAGTTTAAGGTGGGTGGAGCTGGGTTCTTCCAATGCAACAGAAGTGTCTTTTTTGCATTAAAAAAAAAATCAAGTGAAACGTGATATGATTACAGGTAAGCAAAACATAGTTATCAAAGGACTCCAAGTAGGCAGACCTCTGGATGCTTTTAGAAATAAATGAGTTTCCAACATAGTAAAAAAAGTCCAGAAGGATGCTAGTTTTGGGCAGGATCAAAACATATGTAAGACATTGGCAGATAGTTCCTCGCATCTAGGACAACTAGCTTGATCTACCAACTGCATGTGATTCAACTTGGCTGGAATGTAATGCAGCTGGTGAATAAGCTTATCAGCTGTATTAATAACATATTGTAAAAAGGTTTAGGCCAGTTCCTCCCAGTCCTCATTAATGAAGTCAGTGAGGTAAACATGCTATACATTCCTGTATGAGGAAACAAAGTGGTGTGGAACAGCAGACTGTGAGGTAGCATAATAGGTGGTCACCAGTTTGGTAATGTCAGGGCCTGCCACATGATGTTCCAAGGGAGAGGCAGTGAGGTCCACCTCTGTTAACCCAAGTTGGGCTTGCATAGCATGGAGCTACAAAAAAACGTTTAACCGCCTCCCGCCCTCCATATAAAGTAATGACGGGTGCAAGGTGGTTCTCTCATTCTGGGAGGATGTCATATGACGTCCTCCCAATCTAATCGCACATGCGTGGCTCCGGGAATCAGAACACAGCAGATCACCGGACCCTCGGACACAGCAGATCACCGATCAATGGAAAGAGCCAAAGATGTCGGCTCGGTCATGTGATCAGCTGTGTCCAATCACAGCAGACTGTCAATGTCAGTCAGTGCCACCTAGCAGTGCTGCCAATCAGTGCCACCTAGCAGTGCAGCCAATCAGTGCCACCTATCAGTGCCAGTCAGTTCCGCCTAACAGTGCCAGTCAGTGCCGCCTAACAATGCCAGTCAGTGCCGCCTAACAGTGCCAGTCAGTGCCGCCTAACAGTGCCAGTCAGTGCCACCTATCAGTGCCAGTCAGTGCCGCCTATCAGTGCCAGTCAGTGTGCCTATCAGTGCCACCTATCAGTGCTGCCTATCAGTGCCATATGTGAGTGCTGCCTATCAGTGCCACCTACTAGTGCCTCCTCATCAGTGCCCATCAGTACCACCTATCAGTGCCCATCAGTGCCCATCAGTGCAGCCTCATTAGCGCACATCAGTGAAGGAGAAAAATCACTTATTTACAAAATTTTATAACAAAAACTAAGAAAAAACCCAGAGGTGATTAAATACCACCAAAATAAAGCTCTATCTGTCTCAAAAAATGCTAACATTTATAAATGATACAGTGTTGCATGACTTCGCAATTGTCATTCAAAGTGCGACAGCGCTGAAAGTTGAAAACTGGCCTGGGCAGGAAGGGGGTATAAGTGCCCGTTAGGCAAGTGGTTAACATTTTTTGGTAATGCCAGTCCTCACCCTAAGAATATTGAATGAAATAAATGCACCATCAACATACACTTGACAAACATAAATAATCATCTTGGCTCTCCACCAAGAGGCATTTGGGTAGTTGTAAAGCTCCTTGAGCCCAGGATTCTGCCACAAGGGAGCATTCAGGCTAAAAGACACCTTTTCCCCAGACAGTAGCTTATCTGCTACCACCCAGGATAGAAAACAAACCTCTTTGGGAGAGAGTTTTTGACACTGTGAGGGCACTTGGCAATGAACCGCATCTTGCAGTCCTCTAGAAACTCCCTGCATAGCTAACAATAAGATGATGGAGGAGTGTGGTGCCTCTGTGAAAAACCAATCATATATATAGGTCAACTGAGCGGCCAAAAATTTATGAAACAAATTGGGACTAGCCAGTGCCTCCAGAGAAGAAGGGGTTTAGATGGAGGCCCTAGCAAACCTTGGTTGGGAATTACTCCAAATAAACGAGGATAAAAGTGAGTCGATACATTGGAACAGTTGTTTTGAAGGAAAAATAGGGGAGGCTCGAAGGACAGAGATGTTTGGGGAGAAAAATCATATTCACTATATTGATATGCCATATCAAATTAAGTAGCAGGGATGACCAAATTTTAAGCATCACCTCCATATTGGTCAATGTAGGTGAAATATTAAGGGAATAAAACATAGTGAAGTCAACGATACCAAGATATTTAAACGTAGGGGATAGCTGTTGTTGAGAAGAAGTCAAATACTCATAGGGGAGGGAGAAGGGCTATTGGAAATGTCACCTACTTATCCCAGCCAACTTTAGGACTGGAAACCACTCCAAAATCCTACACCACCTGCATAAGCTCTCCAAAGGAAGATTCTGTACCATCTAAGCAAACCAAGGCATCATCAGCATAAAGCAAAATTTTCAACAGATGCAACCTCAGGAGATTGGTGGATAGATATAGCCAGCATTTCAATAGCTTTTTAAAATGAAAAACATATCAAGCTAGTCTCCTTACTGCACTGCACACATTTAATCCACTGCAGGTAGTGTAGTCTTCAGTAGTGATGGGCCGAACACCCCCGTGTTCAGATTGCGGTTGAATGTTTGAACCTAATGAACATTCTCTTTAGGCCCACATCACTCCCTTGCTCAACCTGGGAATCAACATCTGAGCATTGAAATTGCTGCGCATCCTCCAGCAGCATGGGACTGACACTATGTTTGAATAATTCAGATGACTCCTCCATGCATGATGGAGGGTTATGGAAGGAGTAGCTGTGGACAAGGAGCCTGTGGAATAAGACATTTTAGCAGTTGCGGTGGAAGGCAAACCAGTATGATCCTGGGTGACAGGATGAGGAGGATAAGGATGGCTTAGTTATCCACTCCACCACCTCTTCTGCATGTTGTGGCTCAATAACACGGCCAGAACCAACAAAAAAGGACAAATGTGCCCTGCCTGCAGAGAACGCACAATGTCCACCACCACTTTTCATTGAGAACACAAAGGATGCTTGCCCTCTTTTAGCTGCCTGTAACCGTTTGCTTTTACTTGTTGGCCTTTCAGACATGATGGGTATTTTTTTGGAAATTTTTATATAACTTTTTATTGAGAGTGAGATCGGAATTTGGTGCTTGGGTGCAATACTTTTGTGCTCGGTCCACTATAAACCATTTTATTATTGTTTTTTTAATAAAGAAAATAGGGGGTACAGCAATTTAAGAGATTTTTATTTACTGCTGCTGCTGCAAAAAAAAAAGAATGCCATAAATAAATAAAACACAGGTGACGCAGAAGGAAGAACACCTGTGACTCAGAAGGAGGAACAGAAATTGTGGAGACATTTTTTTGTTGCTGCCAAAAAAAAAAAAAAAAAAAAGGGAACCACCAATGCAGATTTAATATAAAAAAAATAGAAACAGCAGTGACACAAAAGTGCTGTAAAAACACACTGACACTTCACTGACACCCCTATACTGCTCTTCACAACACCTTACTACACTACATTTCTAACACACCACTAACTCCTCTAAACTCCAACAACACACTACACAAGGCTGCTGCGTAAGCAGCCTTATATAGTGTAGGGCGTGGACTTAGCCATGAGCCATGATTGGCCTGTGGTCAGGTGCATTTCTTTGGCCAATCATGGCTCTCACAATACACTGTGAGAGAACAATGCATTGTGGGGCACTTGTCGGGCAAACAGCCCACGGAACGCCCTTACCATTCATGTGTTCGGTGAACACACTAATGGCTGATGTTCGAGTAGAACTTGCATTCAACTCAAACATTGAGCACAACACTAGTCTTCAGCCATGGCTATGCTAGTGGCTTCCAGGGCTTCCCAGCTGTTATGAATACACAGGCACTGACAGCTGTGAAGTCAAACTGGAAGTTGAGACAGGAGGTATGTCGACAGGAGACACATCTCAGTTAGTGCAAACCCTGGCATGAGGATGAATATATAGGAGTTGAACTCACTTGGTAAACTGGGAGCAGAATACAAACCTAGACAAAGATTCCCATTAAAAAACACTTAAAAAAAACACTTAACAATATCAAATGCCTTTTTAATATCCAAGGCTAACACCAAGCCTCTCTTATTCTGATGTATGGCCTCAAAAATATGGAGATATAGGCATCTTATATTATCAAAGGTACTTTTACTGGGCATAATGCTCAATTGATTGGGGTGCACAATTGATAGAACAAATTTACTAAGATGAAGAGAAAGTAATTTTGCTAGAATTTTGACAACATAAGTCAGTAGGGAAGTTAGGCGGTATGAACTACATAGCAATTTGTCTTTACTGAGTTTTGGCAATACTACTGTGAGTGCCTCCATCATGAATGGTGGGAGAGTACCCGCATCTAACGCACTCATATAGAGCTCAAGTAGCTTAGGAGATAAAAGATTTGCATGTGCCTGATACAACTCAGTAGGGAGATCAAGTCCTGGAGTTTTGTTGGACAAGAGAGAGTGGATTGCAGTAGTAATTTCATCTACTGTCAGAGGTTTGTCCAGGAGCTGACATTGGGAAATGTACAACTGTGGTATGTTTAACAGATTAAAAAAAGAATCTAGCTGCTCTGAGGGTGGCGTAAAGGAATCAGTGTACAAGGTTTGGAAATAGGACATAAACGCTCTGTTAATCTTAAGAGGGTCACTTGAGACTGAGCCAATCAATAGTGTTATACTCAAAATAGTAGTGTCAGGAGAGTCCAGTCAGGACAGATAAGCCAATATTTGCCCATTCTTTTCACTGTGCTCATGAAGACAGACAGATATACTTGTTGCTTATGGGTCGTTGTTTCCACCATATGCAACTGAAGAGCACAATGTGCTGTGACAAGGGCACCATGAGAAGTTGGGGAAGGATGTAAGGCATAGTCAGAATGGGCAGTAGCCAATTACCCCTCCATCAAGCGCAATTGAGCCATGCAAAGCAGTGTGCAGGAGCTGACAGGGGAGAGAACTGTATTGCTTACAAACAGTTCAACCCCCCCCCCGTCGGAGAAGTTCGGCAATCACCGGGGGCCGGCAAGTAATCACTGGCTGGTACCCGGTGATTGACAGCCGAGGCACGAGTAGGGCAGCTACATTTTACAAAAATGTGGGTTTTTTTTTGCTATTTTGAGCCAGTTTATTTTTGGTAATAAAAAAAAAATCAGGAGATATCCATTACCATTTCCCACAAAATAAAAGCTCAATTTGTCCTGAAAAAAACAACACATAATCAACCAACAAAGTAGTTGTGATTATATGTACGGTTTTGCTAACCTATGTCAAAGTTGCAAAATTGTGTTTAGACGTTAAGATTTGCTTTACCCTTAGGCACAAAGGGGCTAAAATATATAATATTTGGGGGTTATAAGAAAATGTCTAGCAAAAAAAAATGCAGATTTTCACAATTGAGAGAGAGAGAAATAAACTTTCTCTGATCCAGTGACCATACATCCACAGGTTTATACAACAGAAACATTTCACAATGTACAAAAAAGAAAATACAATTCTCATTTATCTATAGCAATTCTATTCACTTTAAGCAAGTTCCACATTTCCAAAAATGAGGGTAATAAAACATGTACTGTACCTTACCAAAAATCCACTTCCCACTCTTAACTTTAATTTCATACAAATATAATATATTGAGCTAAAACATAAGTAAATATAGGTAAACTTCGAAAAAATATTGCAAGGCTTTTAAAAAATAAAATATGCCAAATTTTATAAACGCCCCTTTTTGCTTTACCAATAAAATACACTTACAAATATTATACTTTACAAAAAAACTGAGGAAAAAAAAGTAAAAATAACACAAAAAAAAATGTCTAGTTTAGTTTACCCCTTCTTACCTAGATCAGTTGAAAAATTATTTTCATATATACTTCTAACATAAAATTGTGGGAGATGTGTGTATGTGTGTATATGTGTATATATATATATATTTATTTATTTATTTTCATTCGCTAGTGATTATACTCACCAACAAAATTGTAAGGTACCTATTTTATATGAGAAGTATTATGGCCTGATTTAAAAAAAAAAAATAAAGTACTATGGCCATAATCACTATTGATAAGCTTGAAGCCATCCCAATTACCTTACTCTAATATGCAGATTTAGGTGTTGTGGTGCTGATATTCTAAGGCTAGTGTCCCTTCTGGGTCACCTAATTTGTTGCTTGAAGTGGTATGCCTGTGTGAGATGGGGAAACAGCTCTCATTGTTTGAACACTGTGTGGAAGTAAATTAATGTTTTGACTGACATTCTGCGGTTTAGCCACAAGATGTCACTGT